ATTTCATATTGATTGAAAGAGCAAAGATTGAGAGGGAAGTGCAACGTTTTTAATATTTGGAGCCCTGCCAGAGATCCCTTTCTACCGCGGCATATCAGAAATAAATATATCAGGCAGACATCTTTCTTTGAGTGTTTATATTGGTGGCCTCTTTTACCATAATCATTATGCTTAGTTCGAAGATGGATCAAGTGGTGCACTAGCGCGCTCATGGCCGGAGATTGAATCTCAGCTTGTTATCCGTCTCGGCCAAGGAAGCTTTCCATCTCTTCATGATATGATAATGGTTACCAAAGCATTCTTCGAGGTCAACAGCCCGTTTGAACTTCTACTGTTCTCCAGAGATCATTATATTGGCCTCATAAGCACATACGACTGACCAACGCCAGAAATTTTATACTTTTCATTTCATCATACTTGTTTGTTTGGTCTTTTACCAGTGCTCGGGGAACAAACGCACTTTTCACTTGATTCTTTTCTACCATAACAAGTGTTCAAACTAGGTTTGCAAACTTACGGCCTATTATTTGTTTTCTAGCAGGAAGTCGATTTTGAGCTCGAGGCTTGAACCCACCCCTCCTCCCCCGCCCCTGTTGTGTGCGTTTGCTCACTAGTTGGCTGATCTTCTCTGAAAATATAATAATTCAAGCACTCATGCTTAAAGTGGAAGTGAGCTGACCATGGAACTGTTGTGAACCGCACTGATAACTCTCAAGAAAGGAGGCAAGCGAAGCAGAATCAAATCGCGGCATGGTTAGGCACGGAACTTCTGGACAATCTTATTCAACTCCCTCCCTCTGGAATTGGTCTTCTGGAACTCCTCCCTTTCTGTGCCATGTCAGCTCCAGAAGCGTCGATCGGTGAGGGGAACAAGAAAATAAAGTGGAAGTGAGCTGACCATGGAACTGTTGTGAACCGCACTGATAACTCTCAAGAAAGGAGGCAAGCGAAGCAGAATCAAATCGCGGCATGGTTAGGCACGGAACTTCTGGACAATCTTATTCAACTCCCTCCCTCTGGAATTGGTCTTCTGGAACTCCTCCCTTTCTGTGCCATGTCAGCTCCAGAAGCGTCGATCGGTGAGGGGAACAAGAAAAAAACACTCTTGAATTTATAGAAACAATAAAAACGACCAGTTTCAGTTGTGACCCAAACCCTCATACTTCTTGAGAGAGCAACTGTGATCTACCGTCCCAACCTTACAAACTGTGGGCCCCTGGCACGGCTTGTATACGACTTCGAGATTTCTCGCAATTGTAAATTTTCATGATATTTCCCTTTTTTTTGTTAGCCTGCCACCTAAAGATGTGTTAATGATTTCTTTCATGAACTGTGTTCTGCTGAATTAAAACAAATCTTCTCAACGCATTAACGAAATACATACAAAGTGCACACGAATAAGACAAAACATTCATTTCATTTCTTTCATGAACTGTATTTCTTTCATGAACTGTGTTCTGCTGAATTAAGACAAATCTTCTCAACGCATTAACGAAATACATACAAAATGCACTCGAATAAGACAAAACATTCATTTCATGCATGAGACACGAATATAGAAACAGATCAATAATCATATATTAAAATACCCATAAATGTGATACAAAAAATCAAGGTCACGAGCGTAGAAATAAAGGAGGTCTTGTGTGAGTCGAAGACAGAAAAGATCAATCAGTTCTCATCGGTCTTCTTCTTACTTCTGTTTTCATCGAGTATTTCTTGAAGACAGGCAATGTACTGCTGAGCCATTTGCAACGTTTCATACTTGGATAGGCGGCGTCCTGAGTCCATTTCCGGTAGCACAGTGCGAAGCTGAAGATATTGGATAGAGCAGTATAGTTTTCGCCTAATAAAGCTGTCGTGAATGGAAATACCATTCTTCATTGTAATAATTTCGAGATGTCTAGATAGCTTCT